CCTCAGCCTTCCAAGTAGCTGGAACTACAGGTGCACGCTACCACGCCCGGTTAATTTTTGACTTATTGTAGAGATGAGGTCTCTCCAAGTTGCCCAGAGAGGTCGCAAACCCGCAGGCTCAGGCAATCCACTCACCTCAGCCTCCCCAAGTGCTGGGACTACAGGCTGAGCCACCGAGCCCAGCTTAGAACAAGAATTTAAATGACTACAGCCTGCCTTTATGATCTCACACACTAAACTACCACAGTAAAAAATATAAAAGTATTTCTCTTAAAAACAGAATGAAAAAAAGTAATCATTTATAAGCTGCTATTAAATTTTTCATTGAGAATAAACACAATTCCTGCACTGAAGTAAAAATAAAACCCTTTCAACATCCAAGTGATTTTTATTTTTTTTTAGAGACAAGGTCTCGCTATGTTGCCCAGGCTGGAGTGCAGTGGCTAGTCACAGGCATAATCATAGCATGCTCCAGCCTTGAACTTGATCCCCCTGTCTCAGTACCCCAAGTATCTGGGACTAGAGGTGTACATCACTGCACCTGGCTCTGCAAAATATTTTTAATGACTGAATTCATAAGAACAGAATAGGGAGAACTATAAATAGCCTATATTTTCAGGTAGTTATTAGTTTTAATATATAATACCTTGATAAGTAAGAGTTTTAAGTAATAGTAATCCCACTGGTCTAAAAAATTAGTATTTCTGGGGTGACCTTAGCCTTATGAGAAAAAGTAAAATAATATATCTGCATTCCCACATCACTGAAGGGTTAACAATAACCAAATCACAATGTCAAATATCCTTAAACTTCAACCACTGATGGTAAGTCACAGAAAGTATACATTTAACTTTAGAAGGCCAAGGCAGGAGGATCACTTGAGCCCAGGAGTTTGATACTAGCCTGGGCAACAAAGTGAGACCCATCTCTATTAAAAAATAAAATTTTGTTAAGTATACATTTAAACTGAATGTGTACAAAAGTATGTGGGTTTTCCAAAATCAAAATCAATTACTATCAGGAAAAATAAAACTAAAGAGTCATATACAATATGTGAAGAGTAGTTTTTTTCTCTGCTTGGCAGGATCATGGGATGTATTTCCTTTGTGTCTTTCTGCAATTTATAGATTTTTCTTCAGTGAGCAAGTATCACTTTTAAAAACAAAAAAAAATCTGTTTTTTTTAATTGAGTACCTGTTAACTTATGAAGAAAGGATATTGGTTGTGACACTGTTTGAATATAAAAACAATTTGGAGTCCAATAACAGGGAACTGGTTAATAAATCATGGTAGATCCATGCCGTGAAAACTGTGTAACCGTTTAAAAGAATGAAACACGCCAGGCTCAGTGGCTCAGCCTGTAATCCCGCGCCTTTGGGAGGCTGAGGTGAGTGGATTGCCTGAGCCCGCGGGTTCGAGACCCGCCTGTGCAGCGAGACCTCATCTCTACAATCAATCAAAAAATCAGCCGGGCATGGTAGTGCATGCCTGTAATTCCGGCTACTCGGAAGGCTGAGGCGGAAGGATCGCCAGAGCCCAGCAGGTGAGGCTGCGCTGGTCGGGAGCGGCCGCTGCACTCCAGTCTGGGTGACCGAGTAAGACTCCAACTCCAAAAAAAAAAAAAGAATGAAACACATCCATTGCCTTGCTAAGCTATGGTCTGGCCATGTGTTCTTTGAGCTATGGCCAGGCCATGTTTTCCTAAGCTTTGGCCCCTTCCTCTACCTTGGGAAGGTGAATCTTCTCTCCCTTCCCATCCCCTTTCCCCCTCCCCCCATTTACTTTCTAAATAAATTATATTTTCCAATCTAAAAAAGAAAAAAAAAGAATGAGATACATCTATATGTACTATTATGGAAGAATTCCAAACTATATGGTTTCATTTTAAAAGAAAAAAAGAGAAAACAATTTGGCACTATTTACTGAAGTCGAAAGTATGCACATTCTATGACTCAGCAATTTGCCCAAGCTGGTCTCAAACTCCTGGGCTCAAGCAATCCTCCTGCCTCCTGCCTCAGTCTCCTGTGAGCCACCATGCCTGGCCTCTTTCAGATTTTGTGCCCATACATCATTATCTAACCAAAAAAACTTTTCATTCCTACTAGTCATCTCAAAGTTAACTTACCAAATTCCTGCTGCAATAAAAGTAGCAGTAGTAATGGGGACCAATGCTGGATACTTAACATCATATTCTTCAATTCCATGACACCATTCCAGATAGACTATGCAGTAAAATGCAACTGATAAACTGACAAGCAACAAGGCACCACCAAAGAGAAACCAGCTGTGGAAATAAAAATAATAAGAGGGGTGACAGCACTTAGCAAAGCAGCATATATCTTAAGTATTTTCGTTAACAACTTAAAAATCTAAATCTAAGAAGAATATCAACTGGAGAGGGGTACAGAGGGATAATCATCACATAATTCCAGTTTTAACAAAGTCTCCATCTATGCAAGATGAGGGTGAGAAAAGAGAAGACACACAACTTATGAAAAGATCAAGGAAGCCTTTAAATACTGTGCCCAGCTTTGTTTTGTTCTTCACAATACCTGTCTTTTCTATCTTTGAACAATATAAAGAACCTTAATGCTTTGGGCTTCTGAACTCAGGCTAGAGCAGGAAAATAAAAGAAATTACCTCAAGTCACAGAGGAACAAGCCATTTTCAAAAAGCAGGATTCAAACCAGGCCTATAATCCCAGTACTTTGAGAGGCCATGGTGAGAGGATTGTCTGAGCCTAGAGGTTTGAGAACAGTCTGGGCAACTTGGTGAGACCTCAACTCTACAACAAATCAAAAAATTAGCCGGGCATGGTGTCACATGCCTGTAGTTCTAGCTACCTGGAAGGCTGTGGCGGAAGGATTTCCTGAGCCCAGCACGTCAAGGCTGAAGTGGCCATGAGCATGCCACTGCACTCCAGTCAGAATGACAGTGAGACTCCAACTCAAAAAAAAAAGAATTCAGCCTGCATTGCCTTTTGTGTACCCCTCTAATTCCGCAGCTGTTCAAATGCCCCACTGCTCAATGAGGCCCTCACCAAGAACAAAACCCTTAGCCTCTGCATATGCATGTACATCTTTTTTTCTCCAAGACAACATTTTTTGAGGACTGGCCTATGACTTCTACTTCCTTTTCATCATCCTCAGCCCTGGTCCAGCAGGTGTCTTGGCTCTGCTACACAATAGTTGTGTGCCTCTGGGTGTTCCATTTACTGGGCAGTTGCCCCTGGACATCATACATGCATGGTGACTTCTTACCCTGCCATTTCTTTGAACTACGAAGAATTCCTGGCTGGGCTCGGTGGCTCAGTCTGTCATCCCGCACTTTGGGAAGTCGAGGTGAGTGGACTGCCTGAGCCCGCGGGTTCAAGACCCGCCTGCGCCACTTGGCGAGACCTCATCTCTACAATAAATCAAAAATTAGCCAGGTGTGGTGGCACGTGCCTGTAGTTCCAGCTACTTGGAAGGCTGAAGCGGAAGGATCGCCAGAGCCCAGCAGGTCGAGGCTGCGGTGGCCGGAAGCGGCCACTGCACTCCAGTCTGGGCGACAGAGTGAGACTCTGACTCAAAAAAAAAAAAAAAAAAGAATTCCTAATATAAGGACTCAAAAAGGTCTCCTTCCTGAGGCTGAGCTGGACGAGGTAGCCCTCCTAAGTGCTCCTATAACATCCTGTGCCTGTAGTTACAGAGCACACACAAGGCCTAGTAACTCATCTGTTGCCTGGAAGGAGCTGCTGGGGGGCTAGGAATGCACCTCAACCACCTTGGGACCCACAGCAAACACATCTCAGGCGCGCTCATGAAGTATCTGATGAATGAAGGAGCAGCTGCTACTGGTGGTGTTTGAAGCACCCACTCCCTCTCTTCCCAGCCCAAGTTCTAAACCAATTGACAGAGATGAAGGAGTCGGGCTGCAGGTGTACATCATTATCTAATTTAAAAAAATTTTCAGCCAGGCTCGGTGGCTCAGCCTGTCATCCTAGCACTTTGGGAGGTCGAGGCGAGTGGACTGCCTGAGCCCACAGGTTCGAGACCAGCATGGGCAACTTGGTGAGACCTCATCTCTACAATAAATCAAAAATTAGCTGGGCATGGTAGCACGTGCCTGTAGTTCCAGCTACTTGGAAGGTTGAGGTAGAAGGATCACCTGAGCCCAGCAGGTGGAGGCGGCGGTGGCCATGAGTGTGCCACTGCACTCCAGCCTGGGAGACAGAGTGAGACTCCAACTCAAAAAAAAAAAATGTTCATTCCTATTAATCATTTCAAAGTTAACTCTGATCTAATGTCAGCTACACTGATGGAGCTGTGAGAAGAACATGGCTTTGGTGAGCAGGAACGAGCACTTCCTAGTACGGAAACCCAGAAAGACAGACTAACCAACGGGTTCCAGATCACAATGAAAACCTAAAGCCTGTCTCTTTTGGGGGTTGCCCCAAAAAATGATAGCACAGAAAAGCAGACCAGAATCTATGCCTCCTATGGGCAGCAGAATCCCAAAGAAAGAAGGTGAAGTGCTGAGCTACCTGTGTCCAATTCTTCATCTCACACTCAGTCAGGTAAGTCATGCCACCTCCCCAGGAGGGCATGAGTGAGATGTAAGGGCAGAAGATGAGAATGTTTGTGCAAAGTCCCTACTCATGGGCAGAAGAAAAGAGAGAAACGAGCTTGCTCCCTCCAATCGTTTATTTACATTCCTCTCTGGCTACTTTCCTCTGACGGCTTGCTCCCTCTAGCTCCTCAGCCTTCCTCTCCAGAAGCCACAGTTCCTCCCGAGGTGCAATGTATGTATCCTGCCAGGATACCACAGGACCATAGTTCTGTCTGCATCTTCCTAGTCCTACTGGTACTTCCAAATGATTACTCTTGACCCTAAGCCAACCAGTCCTGCCAATGCCAGTTGTGACGCTCACCAACATCTCTGTCACTTTCCAATGTGCAGTGAGGACGCTGTGACATGATTCGGGACCTCCTCCTCCATATCAACTCTGGAGACTATCCTGAAGGGATCCCAGATCCAAGAATGAGAAACAATTTGACATCTGGCAGGGCCACAAGGCTCCGACTCCTCCCACAGGTGACCTTCACTTTAATGCTAATTCAGTCACACCCTGTAGTTACCTTGTCAGCTGTAACTACCCTCTGAAACAAACCCTGAGACTCGAATCTCAAAGGTCACAGTTCTTACTCCTTCCTCCCAGTACTCCTGCACTTTGTTATCATAAAGACCTTCAGAGTTTCTCTTCCTCCATTTTTTCCCAAATGGGTTGCACCTTTCTTAAATTCACTAGCTTTGTCATCCTACCACATATCTGTGGTGAAAAGGCATACTGAAGTAACTTCCGGTTCTCATCCACTCTGCTGTGCATGCCTAGAGCACATACCCTCTTGCCGTTTTTCTTGCCTTTTCCCCAGCTTTTCCAAAATATAATTGACAAATTAAAACTGCATACACTCAAGGTACATAAAGTGATGACTTACATACACATTGCAAAATAATTAACACACCCATTGTCTAACAGAGTTACCAATATTTGCACATGTATGTAACGAGGGCACTTAAGATGTACTCTCTTAGCAAATTACAAGTAAACAGTACAGTATTATTATTATTTTTTTTTAATAGAGACAGTCTCACTCTGTCACCCAGGCTGGCCCACTTGCACAATCACAGCTCACTGCAGTCTCAAGTTCCTGGACTCAAGCAGTCCTCCTGCCTCAGCCTCCAGAGAAGCTAGGACTATAGGTGCATGCCACCAAGCACATCTTTTTTTTTTTTTTCCAGAGAGATAGGAGTCTCAATATGTTGCCCAGGCTGGTCTTGAACTCCTGGCCACAAGAGATCCTCCTGCCTTAGCTTCCCAAAGCGCTAGGACTACAGGAGGGTGCCACCACACCCAACTAATTTACAATACAGCATTATTAACTATAGTCACCATGCTGTACATTGGATTCCCCAAATTTACTCACCTTATAACTGAAAATGTCACCCTTTGACCTACATCTCATTTTCACCTTTGTATCGTCTGCATCTCCAACATGAGGTATGGCAGAGTATGTGCTTACTAGTTTATTTGAAGAATTCAACTGAGAAAATATAACATGAGAAATATGCAAGGGTTTAGCATATGAAGCAATAAAGTTTTCTTACCTGCTAGTGTGAAAGTTTTCCTTAAGAGTTTTAAAGAAATCAACATAATAGGTCACAGCTATGGATGCCAAAATCCAGAATCCAGAATGAATATTAAGTCTTGGAAGAGGTTTCTCCTTTTTCTCAACAGCTGTAGAAGTTTCTACAAATAAGGGAGATTTCAACTTATTAAGTTACTTTATGAAAAAATGTTACAACTAATTTAAGCCAAATAAGAAAATCTCCTAGAGTTTTCTAAGAACCAGAGACGCTCCCATTGAAACACCAAATCCTTCTGTAAAACCATCAAGATAAGTTTAGATTTACTGAAATAACTATAAAATACGTTCAATATAGTCAACTTATTTTCTCAAAATTAATTCTGAAACCAAATGTACATTTTCATAGTCTTTCAAAAATAATGATGCCACCTGAAAGTGTACCAATGTTATTATGTTTCACATTTCTTCCAGGAAAGTAATCAGTCCTATTAACTTTTTTAAATGCCAAAGGCCAACATCAGAGCATTAAAGAGACCTGCGGTCTTCCAAGAACATTTTCTGTAACCAAGTATTTTAATTATTTTAAACAAACACAACCTCTTAAAGCAGCTTAAAAAGCAGAACCGGCACACCAGAGCCCCAGCACAGCACTGTCTAGACAAGTCATTTCTGAAAGACTGAGTGGCTGGGGTTGGTCAGAGGAATGATTTCTAACAAGTTCCCCAGGTGATTATGACATGCCCTCTCTCTTAAGTTCACGTGAGAACCACTGGTCAACATCTGAGGTTCTGGGCCTTTAGGTAACCATCAGAAACCCTGGGAAACTTGTTCATGACATAGATTCTGGGAGATGTCCTCCAAATTTATAAGTCATCGTGCATGCGTACAACGTGTTCATTTTGACAAGGTAATAAATGGGCATGGTTTTATAACATACAGGATAAAAATATCTAAAATTCTATTCTCATTCTTAACCCCAGTTCCAATTCGCGGAAGCAGCCACCACTTTCAATTTCTACTGAATTCTTCCCTATTGTATACATACACAGATGAACACACATCACAGGTCATCTGTTTTGTACCCAAATGGTGGCATACCACACATTTTTCTTCGAAAATCATCCCCATTGGTACAAAAAAGGTCAGCCTGGTGCGTTATATATAGATAGATCCGAATTTACTTAACCAGCATTCTGCTGATGGGCAATTAGATATTTCCATGTCATTTGCTATTACAAGTAATGCTGAGATGAAACACTTGGCACCCAAGTCTTTGTGTACTGTGGTACCAGCATGTTTCTTCGGTAAATTCTTAAGACTTAGAACCGGCGGTAATTTTAACTTTAATGTTAAACCAGCTCTCCAGGAGATCCCGAAGCGCGACTGAGATGAAGACGCGCAGGACTGTGCGATCTCTCAGGCCCTTTCAGGACATTAAATATCCGATGAACAAAACTACTTCGTAAGTCTTGAAAAAGGAACTCAGGCGCTCGGGTCTGGGCGGGGGCTGCGGCAAACCGGCCGTTTCTGAGCGCCTCGACTCTGGACACCTCGGCGCGGCTCTGAGCGAGCGCGGGGAGAGCGCCTCACCCAGCCCGACGTTCTCCTCCCCGTCCAGCGGGACCGCGACGTCCGGCGGCAGCAGGAATCGCCGCCGGAGCTGCTCCCTGGCCCGAGAAGCCTCCATCTTGACACCGCCCCCAAAGCGCGACGGAAGTGACGTCCAACGCGCGGCACTTCCGGCGTCGGCTCCGGGACGTCCCGGGGGGAGACTGCGGTGTCTTCGCGGTGTTGGTGAGAGGGCGGCTGTGGGAAGTAGGTGTGAGCTCTGTGCTCAGATTGGCCGTCGTACTGTGAATGACTTTATTTTATTATCATTATTGTATTTTTTACTCTCCAGGAAATTCTGCAGTGATCTGGATTTTAAAACACTGCGCTTTCCCGGTGGGAATTTTCCGAGTTTGTTCTGACCCTACGGAAGCCAGAAGGACCAAGGTTATTGCTTCCGCTAGATGTGTGCAGGGCGAGGGCTAGCGACCTTGAGACCCTCTGCTTCCGGAACCTTCTCGGGCCTCCCGGTGCCAAGCACGAGAAGAAGCACGCGGTCTCTCCCAGACGTCGGGGCTCAGCCCGCAGCTTCTCCTCGACCGCTTTTTCGGGAGTCCCCCGGAGAGACCGGAAAGGGTTGAAGGCAGCCGGGGCAGGAGGCGGCCGCAGGACGGGCGGCCGCCGGGGCCTGGCGCTGGACCGCTGGGGCCTGGGCGAGAGCGGGCCTTTCGGGCCGTCTCCTCTCCGCGCTGCGGTGGTCCTGCTTGCCCCTAGGTTTGCTGTGGGGCTCAAGCGCGGAGTCCCCGGATGTGGCTCGTGCGAGTCCCTGCCCCCCACTCGGGGGAAGTGTCCAGCTTGGACTGGGGTCCAAGTTACTTTCCCGGCAACCGCTTTTCTCGCCACTCACGCCTGTAAGCCGCGTGTCCGCAGCCCACATCCTTGCCTCCCTCTGGAACCCTGTTTGTGACTCTCCCGACTCTTTCCCGCCCAGGCGCTTGCTGAGAAATGTGCGGGCCCCGCCGGCGCCGGCTGGGTCCCGCTCGTTCCTGGGAAGAGTCGGGCGTGCTCGCGGGGGAGGTGGGGATGGGCGACGACACCGCGGGCCTTGCCCTGGAGGAGCTCCTGGCCCCGCGAGGGCGAGAGAGAGGGCGGTGTTTGTCGACGCGTGACAGCCTTCGTTGATCCAGCCAGCAAACATCTGAGCCGCTGCCTGTGCAAGGGCGAGGACAGAGGCCAGTGAGAGCAGCGTGGAGGAGGCAGCCTCGGCCGCACAGCCCTTGTAGAAGTGCGGCACGCGGGACGACGGGAGAAGCCAGAAAGAGCGGTTCATTCTGCTGGGGTGTCGGGGGAGCAGGGAGAGTGGTTTCGGGTGGATCAAATACAGGGATGAATGAACCACAAAGGAAGTAAAGTTTGGATTCCTCGGTAGGCGCTCTTGAAAGTCTTGTGGCCAGATGCAAGGCTCATGCTTGCAACCCCAGCACTGTGGAAGGCCGAGGAAAAGGATTGCTCTAGGACGGTGTTCAAGACCAGGCTGATCAACTGGCAAGACCCTGTCTCTACGAAAATAGTAATAATAATAAAGTGTTTTACATGTAGTGGGTATTGTAAAAGCAGTGTAGTTAGAAATATTCAAGGAAAGCGTGTCAAGTCTCTACTGATTTATTTGTCATTTCTTCAGCCTCTCTCTACTCTTTGGCGTAAAGGCTTTAACAGCTGGGCAGATCATATGACCTTTCTGAACAATAACTTCTTTTTCCTGTTGTTTTTTTTTTTCTTTTTCTTTGCAGACTCCTAAAGAACTGGCTTCATCTCAGAGCCAACTGGGGTCTTTGCCCCCCCTTCTTTCTCTTGTATAGGGTTGGGAGCCTTGTTAACAGGAAGTGAATTCATCTTATCAAATACAGTCTTCTGTTGATTGTCTCCTCAAAAAGAGGGTCAGTGCGGGGTCTCCCTTGTAACTGAATATTCCCCAGAGCATCACCGCAATTCCCAGGTTTCCATATGTGGTCTGTTCAGTTCAGATTACATTTCCCCTTTGGTGGTTTCAGAGCCTTTGTATTTGGATCTGAAACCCTTCCAGGGTTTTATTCTCTTTTTTTTTTTGAGTTGGAGTCTCACTCTGTTGCCCAGACTGGAGTGCAGTGGCCGCTCCCAGCCACCGCAGCCTCGACCTGCTGGGCTCCCTTCCGCCTCAGCCTTCCAAGTAGCCAGAATTACAGGAACGCGCTACCACGCCCGGCTGATGTTTGTAGAGATGAGGTTTCGCCAGTTGCCCAGGCGGGTCTTGAACCCGCAGGCTCAGGCAGTTCACTCTCCTGGGCCTCCCAAGGTGCGAGATTACAGACTGAGCCACCAAGCCCAGCCTTTTTTCTCTAGTTTTAATGGCACTACTTGTATGTCATATTAATGATACTTAAAAGCAGGTTGGAAAAATTCCTGTACATAATGACTATATCTTCATTACTGGGGTCCTTTTAATAAGTTCTTCAGTGTGTATACTGTGACACCTTAATTATAGATACACAATACTAGATTGCTTCCAGGGAAGAAATTTGTATTTTCAACGTGGATTACTTGTGAGGAACAAATTAATTTGATTATGGTTTGGTCCAAGATGTTTATAGACTATTGAATTCTGGCTCTGTCACTTTGGGGGAGGCAACCGTGTCTTAGTGGCTCTCCAGTTCCTTCTAAACACGGTCCTTGGTCACAGCTAACTGGTCTTTGTTATGGACATGCATGCATCCACCCAGCATCCCTTCCTCTGAGAGAACACTTTCTCCTTTCAATGCGGTCCTGCTCCCTCCTCAGAGTTTGGCCGTGTCCCACGGGAGGCCACATGACACAAACCAGACCTCTTGGTCCCTGGGACTTACACTGAGGTGATGTTGGGAGGGCCTTCTCTATTGCTGTGGTATGGTGAGATGTGAGGTCAGTGTGGCTTGGGACTGCTGTTCTGGAAAGGCATGGAGGAGCCCACCTAGAAAGGCAGCTCTGAGAGGCAAGCTAAGAGGCCTTGGTAGCACTGTTCCAGCTCCTGATCAGCCAAGCCCTCGTTAACCCAGTTAAGAACCTGAGCTGTGGAGTCAGCTGCCTGGCTAGCTGTCATTGCTGACTGTTTCAACCCTGGGCAAGCTTCTTACCCTCTCTTTACCTGAGTGTCCTCACTTGCAAAACAGAGTCAAGGCTAGTACCTGCCTCACAGGGTTGGGTAAAGTTCAAAGGCATTAATACACTCAAAGTGCTTAGCGTAGTGCCTGACCCATGGAGAGCTCTCAGGACATCTTAGCCGCTGTCGTTCTCCATGGCTGAAACTTCACAAACTAGAATTTTGCTTTCTTTAAAGTAATGTTAATAGGAGTTGTGCTCTGTTACTTGTGGCCCACACAGCCCTGCTCTCTTACTGTGCCATGTGGCTGCCCCTCGGTTCTCAGCTGTTCTGTGAGCACCCTCAGGAATGAGTTAATACTGGTAAAGCTCTTAGAAAAGCGTCTGGCACATAGGAATTGCTCAGTAAATGTTAATGTGTATCACTTGAGGTACTCCCCTTTATTCCAAGAAGAAGCTAGTACATTAATTTGAGGCCAGGCTCGGTGGCTCATGCCTATAATCCCAGCTCTTGGGAAGGCCAAAGCAAGAGGACTGCCTGAGCCCAAGAGTTTGAGACCAGCTTACGCAACATAGCAAGACCTCCTCTCTACCGAAAAAAAACAAAAAATTAGCCAGGCGTGGTGGCACATACCTGTAATACCAGCTACTTTGGAGGCTGAGGCAGAAGGATTGCTTGAGTCCAGGAGGTCAAGGCTGTGTTGAGTACTACTGCATTCCAGCCTGGGTATCAGAGTGAGACCCCAACTCAAAAAAAAAAAAATTGTCTAGGTGCGGGGCTCATACCTGTAATCCCAGCACGTGTGGGAGGCTGAAGTGGGAGGATTGCTTGAGGCCAGGACCAGCCTGGACCAGCTGATGTTAGTGAGCCCCGGTCTCCATTAAAAATTCTACCACTCATTGTATAAAAGTGCAGTGTAATGTGTGCCTCTCTTTCCACACAGCTCTGATGATTTCCCTGATAAAAACTAGTGTTAGAATTGCTAGGTCAATGACATGAACATTTTAAAGGCTTTCGACTGATGTTTTTAAACAAGTTCAGAGGGCTTTGTCCACTGCTGCAGTTTACTTACCACCAGCAGTGGACAGGAGCAGCCATCTCCAACATTTGCACCAACAGTAAATGGGCTTTAGCATTTTAGCAAAATTTTGCCGGCCAGGCTCGGTGGCTCAGCCTGTCTTTCCAGCATTTTGGGAGCCCGTGGGTTCGAGACCAGCCCAGGCAACTTGGCAAGACCTCATCTCTACAATAAAGAAAAAATTAGCCAGGCATGGTAGCACGTACCTGTAGTTCCGGCTACTTGGAAGGCTGAGGTGGAAGGATCACTGGAGCCCAACAGGTAAAGACTGGGGTGGCCGTGAGCGTGCATGCCTCTGCACTCCAGCTTGGGTGACAGAGTGAGACTCCAACTCAAAAAAAAAAAAAAAAAAATTTCCCAACTGGTAGTTGGTGGGGTGAGGGGACCAACCATTTTAATTTGCTTGTCTTTGTTAAATTTTTTTCACACGTTAACTGGCTGTATGTGTATCTTTTTTCTCTTGGGATTTTCACTTTTGCTTTTTTTGATAGATCAAGGATGTTTTTGAATATCAGCTGTGTGACAAGTCTACCATTTTTCCAGCCTATGGTTTGCCTTTTAAGTTTGATCATGTGCATCCCTATGTTTTGTTTTTTGCTCTTTAGTCTGTGATAAAAAGCTTTTGAATCGGCTTATCTTGTAGTTGTGAAAGTGCTTGGTTCATGTGTGTGTACTTCATTTGGGGGACAAAACACTTTAACCATCTTCAGATAAACCTAGTTATTTCTCAACCATTCATTACTCGACTAGCTGTACTGGGAAAGGTTCTTGTACCCACAGCTGAAACCGACTTTAACCAACCCAAACAAAATAACAACAATAGCAACAATGACCACCATAATTATCATTCACAAAATATATGTACCACTTTTTTTTTGAGTTGGAGTCTTACTCTGTCACCCAGGCTGGAGCGCAGTGGCATGCTCATGGCCACCACAGCCTCGACCTGCTGGGCTTAGGCGATCCTTCTGCCTCAG